CTTCTATGCCGCTGTAGACTGTCTTAGCTTCGTTTATCAAGATATCATTTTTGCGAATAGATATAACTTTGCACTGAGTACGCAATTGGAAAATTCAGTTCTCGTCACGCCATTTTGCTCTTTCTTAACCTTCTGCCACTTTGGACCATGCTTGTGTATTGTTGAAAGGTAAGCAAGTTCTGTTTTTGTCCTCCGTGGCTTTACAGTTGAAAAGGTTTAATTATGAGAGGGGGAGAGCCTTAACATCAACGAGGAGTTGAATAATGCGTTCAATGTTGAACTTGATAAGTTTAAAAGGTAAGATTTTGACGACTGCTTTCAGAAGTGAGTCTGTAGGCTTAAGTAAAGCATTGAAATGAATAGCGGATATATACAGAAGATGAAAAAGGACAAAGATTACGAATAAATACAAAAAGAAACTTTTTTTTGGTCGACTTACCGAACTTTTATTAATGCCCTCGTATAATAAAAAAAATATACCAGAAACCTTGTAAAATTGAGTAATGTCAAACATTAAAATCTGCTTAGCTACCACTGTGTGTAGATATGTATATTCTGGAATTTAACTATACATATATGACTAACTAATCTCTGACTAGCTGCTAACATTTTTTCTCCTTCCTACGTCAATGTTTTATTTATTACCCTCATATAAGTAGTGTATGTGTGTATGTGTGTAGGTGTGTGTGTGCATATACCACAAATATGCTACGTATCTAATGGATTTTTACTGTAATTAAAGAGTTTAATGCACCGTTATTGACATTAACTGTAGCAAAGCCGCCCTCATGGTGTCCTTGGAGTCATTGTGGTTTGTTTGAAGAGTAGCCAAGCGTACTTAAGCGTATATATATTGTATATGTATGTGCGTTTGTGAACTTACATGAATATACACATGCATACATACATATATGCTGGTGCTTAGGTGCGCTTTGGTGTTCTAATGGCTATTCAGCAAATGGGTGTGGAATGAAAATGGCAGTTACACGTGAGAAAATGAATGGCATTTCGATGTTATTGCACGTGAGCATTTTTTCAAATACACTTTGCGGTGCTATTTTTCTCTTTTTGCTTTTTTAAACTTTGCTGTTGTTGTTGTTGTTTTTTATTTTATTTTTGTTAAAACTGTATACAGTTCAACAGCCGCTTAAGCCAATAAAGGGTGTAATGCCAACACCTGTCCAAGGTAAAAGCTTTTAAATAGCTTTTAATGATAGAGTGATATACACACGTGTAAAGGCTTAAGTATCGTATATATAAAAATACTCACACATACAAAAAAATATACTCACATTTACTAAATAATTTGCAATTGAGCTTTAAAAGTTCAGAATTCATTGGAACGGCAGAAAATTATAATCTCTTGGCATCCTCTATAAGGACGTATTAAAATTATATGAAAAATTAATTTTTTTTTCGGCTTCGAGTGGGGCGGAGAGTAAACAGTATAGCTAAGGTTACAATGCCCTGCTGACGCCCTTGAAATAGATCCTTTGGTGCTCTGTAGTGCCAAATGGAGGTCTGAAGTCGCTTTCGCAAGGTTCAATAAGGCCTTAGTAACCAATCTGGAAGCCTCTTCTAGTTCTTTAAACTGTGAAGCTCCGAAATATCTAAGTGTGGTTTGAGCTAAGACCGAGGAGGTATTCTAACATGTTTACCTTGCTTCCTGCATTTACATACATTTCTTACTGCAACTGCTTGTATGGGATGCCAGTAGATTGTGACCGGTCATTAGGTCTACACCCTACATTCCTGACGATGCCGCGTAAGCCAGAAATGAATGTGTAATTAGCTGCTATTGCACATGATGTTGGTAATTTTCTATGGCACTAATGCGTTTCATCTCATCTCACTCCCATCTCTTTTGGAAATTTCGTTATATACTTTTTGTATATGCCATTTTTAAAAATCTCATCAGCTATTGCGTTACTCACAACACCCTTGAGGCTCGCCATATTATATATTAATGCAGTCTTTTATACTCGGCAGATCTCCTTACTGTTTGCCTGCTTCTAAGAACATTTTCTGAGACAATACGATGTAAAAGTGGTTAAATTATTGCCTTAAATGTCGCCCGACTGGTGACATACATATATGTTGATATTTTCTATATAGCTTCCTGCGTTGCTAGCTATCTCATCTGCTTTTCGTATAGCGTAGACTTTTGCCTGGAAAATACTACATTACACTACTGGTAGCTAGAAGGGTTGTCTGAGTTCAGGCTCAGCGCAATAGACTCAGACGCCTACTTCATGAAGTAGTTTTGTTCTGTTCTGCTGCAGTGCTCTCTATGCAAAGCCGAGGAGGTCACTATAATCGCTTCAATAATTTTCGATGCGAAAATTATTTTATATAAATTTTGAAATGCATAAAATAGCAAAGAATGAACAAATATAAATTTTTTCTAAAAATGCTTCATATGTAGCTTGATGATCCAAAAAAGAGCATGGATGCGCCTTTTTCAAGTCTCGAAACAGTTCTCATTTCTCTTCAGAAAATTTTGATATGATAAACTTTTTTTTATTATTAAATTTAAAGTCTTAGATTTTTTTCCAGCTAGGTTCGAAAAAAAAACGTCGATCAAATGACTCCCTTCAGAGCAAAGCAAAACTTCGCTCTTTTTTCGGCATTTTCCATAACTTTATCCAGCATCTCGTGCGATATCGCAGTGATTTCAGCTCGAATGTTGTTGTGTAGCTCGTCTAAAGTCTTCGATTTGTTGGTATACACTTTGCTTTTCAAAAAGCCCCACTAGGAAAAGTCTGGTGCAGTCAAATCGGGCGATCTTGATGGGCAGTCGATCTGCCCTCCTTTCGATACCACACCTTCGGGAAACTTTTGCTACAAGAATTTTATCGTTGACTACGCTGTGTGACATTTTGCGTCATCTTGTTGTAACCAATAGTTTTTCAGACCTTTTTCACGCATCGCTGGTAAAACAGAGTGCGCCAACATTCATCGATAACGAATTCCCGTTGACCGTAACTATTGTAACTATTTCCCCACATTTTTTGGGCGCAAGGCGCGAATCGATACATGGCTGAAATTGTATTGGAATAACTTCTTCCCCCCTTCCTTGCGCGAAACTTTAAGGCCCTTTCTTTAAAGTCTCTAGCGGGTGGGGTCTTCTGAGATCCGCAGTGGCATCACAATGGGAACGCCACTTCAACTAACCAACCAACCGTTCCAAAAAGCTTTAACTGCACGCAATCGGTTGAGATCTGTGAAATTTAGTCAATGCTTTCAAAGACCGCATACAAATGGTACACACTGTATTACCCTAAAATTAAAAAAAAAAAAATATGTTTGGAGTATTTTGCCTATATGATACATAGTTTAACAAACTGCCGACTGCACAGACTTAGTTGTCACGATAGATTCTGGCCTAAATCTTAGTAATCACATAAAGCGAAAAGAGGGCGGCCTTGGCCTTGGTTTTCATTAAGTGTTGGACTAAGAAGTTCAAATTACGGTTTAACTCGCTTTTTAGGCCTATTTTTTGGGAATATTATTTCGTTGTAAAGAATCCGCAATATCAATTTTATAATGATAAATTGGAAACTGTATAAAAGTTTTTTTTTGATATTTGAAAGAAATCTCCAGTGACGCGTGAATGGGAATCTTTTACCTTACAAAGGTCATTTACGCCTCAGGCCTACGCTCCATAGTCGTAGAGAGATGCTTGGAGTTTTGTATTCAACTAAACTGATCAGAGGCGTTATTCCTACTACATGAGCTTGAGATCCTATAAGATCATTTAGATTTTTTAGGTTGCTTTTATTGTGTTCTTGAAAAAAACATTTTTGAAATGCACGACACTTTGCAATGTTCTTGTAATGATGTCATTACTCATGCCGCCAGCATTTATTGCTCTGACTCGCTTTTCTGTAACAAAATCTACTTACTGAGATCTTTAAATAATTAAGTATTTTTCTGCTCCTTTTTCCATGTATCTTATAGGAGCTGCTGTGAAAATGTGTAGCTGTCCAATGCAAGAAGCAAGTTGTGACCACGACCATCCGCGGTAAGTCTCGGTTTCAGGGCAGTACTGATTGTCACTGGTGCGCAGTCACCGGTCCGTTGAATTTTTCGTTTATCCATCAAGAAAGTCCTTCGGAAGCTTGAGCGAGAGGAACGTTAATTTAGCCTCGAAGTCTAATCACTTCTGCGAAGCCAATAACTGAGTTCCTAGCATAAGTTAACTTAATTTGGAGCTTCAGCAATCATTCCAATGTAGGTAGATACATATAATCTGACAGTATGGAAGATTTAGCTGAGAAGCTCTCCATTCTGAAGGAAGGTTAGACCAACAACCAAAATTATAAAAATCTAATATTTCGTATTTGGGGTCGCGCCTAGGTAAATATTTCTGACATGACAAAAAAAGCTCCTCATAAAAAACCAGCAGCCGTTCGGAGGAGGCTTAGTATAAACAGCAGGGACCTCCTTCCAATTGATTGTAAAGCATTTATACGAATACCACAAATTGAAGAAGGTGCTTGGCCGAAAGTCGTTTCAACGGTTACAAAGTGCCAAAGTATCAAGTAAAACATATAATAAATATAAACATTAATTTGATGAAAAATTCTAAGCCAAGGTTCGCTCCGATCTGCACAGTTTTGTCATTAGTAAGGTCTGCAAACTTCGCCACATGAAAATCTTGCCTATTCAGTCCCGACTCACCAATTATAGGCGTAAACCCTTAAACCAACTCGTCTAGAGCTCAAATCTAAACTGATATTTTCTCAGTATTTACTGAATAAAAATAGACTTGCTTCTGGGTGAGATCAGTTGCCTTCTAATCATTATCTTTTCAACTATTTTACTATTTTCCGATATAAAATTGTTTATTTTAAAAATATTTCACTGAATCTGGCAGCATTTTTCGGTACTAAAATTTTGTAGTCTTTTTTATAATTTTTTTTTCTTTCCACTCTTTCTGTTTTATTTTTACATATTTGACTGGCGAAAAAGTCATAAAAGGCTTCTTTTTTTTTGTAATTTTGTTAAACGAGAAACATTTTAATTTTTTTTCCAAATTTTTTATATGAAGATAATAATTGGAGCGAAATAACGAGCTAAATATTAAAAAATTAATTTTATTTATTCCGTAAATAGAAAAAATTTTTAAAACAAAAACATTCAAAAGCCAAAAAACAGAAAAAGTGCAAGCTTCAAGAAATATTTTTTTATTGCAGTTTTCTGCAAATTTTCAACACAACCACAACACCCGCAGTGGGGCAATGTACAAATTCACCGAATTCGATAAACAACTTTGCCGATTTTTACGCCACAAATTCGATCTTGCTGTTGACGATTGTGATGTCTATTCAATTTGGCATTTTTGCCCGGGCGCACGCTGGCGCGCCATTAAGGATTTTTTCATGGAAAGTTCGGTGTGTCAAGCGGAATGGTTTCCCGTTATCTATTGGATTGTTTTGGCCATAAGTACACTGGGTTCGGTAAGTCTTAGTTGGGTTGCATTATGAAATGAAATCTAGTTTTTTAATTACTTTTTTTTGACTTCCCCCTTGCAGTTTTATAGTCTGAGTGAATTTACCAGTCTCTATTGGGGTGGCCGCAAACGCGTCTCTATGTGGCGTTCACGCAAATATTATGTCATACCATATTCGGTATTGAGAAAATGCCGTTTAGTCGGCTCTTTGGTGATGCTCAACGCCTGGTTGCTGCTTTGGTATGCAGTCATTAATGTGAGTAGAGATGAGAGGTTTGTAAAATTGTTGTTTAACTACTTTCTGCTATATTTTTGGTTGTTGCACAGTGGAAAATCGTATTTATTTAAGCAAAACTTAACAAAAAGTGGGTTAGTTTCAGCTGAGGCCAGAAAACGTCCCTACTCGAAAATACTTAGCAATACAGAGCGTTTTCAGTACACTTTTGGTTCCATAAAGTAGCCATAAAGTCGTTTATATTTAAGAATGGCATATCCACTGATCTTTTTTAAAAGTTAATTCCAAAAATTTGGAACTAAAGAGAGAGAGAGAAGTGCGTTTCATGAAATATTTTTATTATATTTCACCTTTCATTATTTATCAGATAAAGAACTCAGACATTGAGAGAGCTTTCGCCAAAATTTTTCGGTTGCTGTTAAGAGCGGATATCATAAATCATGCACAGTACCATTTCTCTTAAATAGCGTCCTAGAGGAGGGTTGTGAGCTATTGATTAACATAAATAGAGAATCCGTTTAGGGTGGAATCATTTACCATGCTTTGGAATAACTTGCTAGAAGAACTTATTGGCAAAAGGTAAAAAAAGGGGCACAGGAGCAAAGATAAGAATTTTTTTTATTTTGCCAGGCAAAGCTCCATCAGTTACCTCTCTCCTATAAAGACTGAATTGAACTTAATAACAGGTTAGAAGTTCCCTTAAAGATTGTGCCTTTGAGGCACACAAAAGTACTATGGCCGCGTAATTTCACTGATCTTCTCAAAATTGCATTCTTGTATGGTTGTAAAATACAGAAGGATTCATGCAACGATTTACGCTCTTCGCGTAAGCATCGAGTGTGAGTGACGATGTTTACGATGCTTGTGACGCTGAAGGCCTCAAAAATCGTTGATTTATTAGCAGAAAAGTTGCTGAGGATGACGGCACGTTGGTTTGCTTGTGCTGTGTAATTTTTATTGAAAATTTCGTTTCAAAAAAAATACTAAAAATTTACCGAAAACCGTCAAAAAGAGCAACTCACCTCTCAGCTTAATTTGAAAGGAATAGAATATAAATATATGTCTAAATGCTATGAAGAAAAAAAGAAAAGAAAACAAAAGAACTTCTCTGGCTTGGAGGTCCAATCAACTTCTGGTACCATGTGATCTTAACAATTAGTAATCGGAAAATGCTACGTCTGGGCTATAAGGCGGATAAGGTAGAACTTCCCATCCACAGTTTTCCAAATAGTTTTTAACTGGCCTTGCAACTTGTGGCCGAGCGTTGTCATGATGAAAAATTATTGATTCGTGTCTGATTGCATTTTCTAGTCGTTTTTCCGCCATGGCTTTTTTCAAACGAATCATCGATCGTCTAACCCGATTTCAGTAGCTCATAATAGAGCACACCCTTGGGGTCCCACCAAATACATAGCGCAACTTTGGTACCATGGATATTCGGCTTTGCCGTGGAAGTCAATGTTTGGACGGGCTTCACAAACGATCTCTTGCGCTTTGAGTTATCATAATGAATCCATTTTTAATCGCCAGTGTCGATCCGGTGCAAAAATGACTTCTTTTGGTGGCGATGAAGCAAAATTTTCAACATACAGAATCGACGTTCGACGTCTCTTGGTTTTAATTCATAAGGAACCCGATTTTCAAGCTTCTGGATGAATCCTAATAATTTCAATCATCTGGAAACGGTTGCTTGAAATTTGTTTGGCTGTCCGTCGTCTAGGTCGAAATTGCCACTTTTGCACACCACTTTTGGCACGTTCGTTCGGCTAAAGCATGGTCACCATAAACGTCCAGTAAAATACGATGGCTTTCGGTAGCACTTTTCTTCATGTTAAAGTAATGAAGAAAGACTTTATCTGGTACAAATTTCGACATTTTCCGATGAATGAAACAAATTGTTGTTCACGCTAAAACAAATAACATCTACTGAAAAGGGCGCGAAATGAATATAACCACAGATGAACACGACGCGAAAAAACACAAATCTCGAAAAGCTACCGACTGAATTGAAATCTTTCTATTGTGCCTGGAAAGGTTTTCACGAAAACTTTTCGGAAACTTGACATCTTTGGAAAAATTGTTCTCTTTACTTGAAATGCGGTATATAGCTGGCTTTTTGCTAAGGTTAGCAGAAATTCTAGTCTGCTCTCCATGATCTGACCAGAGATCATTTATTTCAATAAATCGGTTTTATGGTACGATCAACAGCAAGATAACTCTTCTCTCCGCTATAGTGGGCTGCTCCTAGCAAAATAAATGTTGCTTCCTCTGGAAAGCTAAGCTAGAGACTGACATATTTGAAATAAAAAAATGCATTTATAATACGATTCACTTCAAATTCTGTATCTAGATAATTTTTTGCGAAAAAAAAACTTAATTTATAGTGACTAGAAGTTGTTTTTTACTGAGGGTGGATCAATCTCTTTCGAACAAATATACACAATCATGGTTCGTTTTGGTTACATCTGTGAATGAAATGCTTTAATTAAATACTTTTCTTCCTGGAAATGTGCCAGAAACCGGAATTAAATTCATTTTTCAAAAAGCATAAATAATGCTATCTTTACGAGAATGGGTTAGATTGCCAAAAATTAATATGATTTGGATATAAGTATAGATGGTGTGTAGGCACATTCGGATTTATTTCATTTTGCGGCTGAGGATTAAAAGCAATTCCTATACGTTCTACTTTAGTGTATGATCCGAATGTGGTGTTTGGCTTACTTCGAGGCATTCATATTCACATTTACGGGAAAGACTTTGAGCAGCGAAGGAGTGACGCAACCCGCACATACAAATTAGTAGTTAGATTATTAATAAATATAATAAAAATTTAAACTTTTCGACTTAGTTGATGACTGATATTCAGGGTTTTTTATATAGAATTACCGAAAGCAACATCAACATATGGTCGGGTCTGCTAGTATACGAGGCGTGTTCAAAAAATATCGGAATTTTGTGTTTTTTCAAAAATTATTTATTTAATCATAAATATCTATTTTGTCCCCTTCAAAGCAATCCCCATAAGATATTATACAATTTTGCCAACGGTTTTTCCAATCTTCGAAGCACTTCAAAAAATCATTTTTTTTTTTATCTCGTTCAGCTCCTCCTTCGATGCCGTCTTTATCTCGTCAATCGTAGCGTAACGTCGTCCTTTCATGGGCCTCTTCAGTTTAGGGAACAAGAAAAAGTCACAGGGAGCCAGATCTGGTGAATACGATGGCTGCGCCATCATTACTGTGTTGTTTTTGGCCAAAAAGTCGCGCACAAGCAACGATCTGTGAGCAGGGGCGCTATCGTGGTGCAAAAGCCAATTTTTGTTCTTCCACAGATCCGGGCGTTTCTGGCGGATTGCTTCGCGCAGATAATATTCCTTACTGACCGTTCTATCCTGTGGCAAGAACTCATGATGCACCACGCCCCTGCAATTGCTTTTTTCGTCTGTTGTTGAAGTGCTCGGGCTTCCGGCACGCTCTTCGTCGTTCACATCATCTCGGCCTTCTGAGAACATTTTCTACCACCGATAAACGTTGCTTCGGTCCAAGGTAGCTTCGCCGTATGCCACAGTCAATATTCGGAATGCATCCGCGCACTTAATTTCATTTTTCACACAAAATTTGATACAGGTTCTTTGATCCATTTTGTTGTTGTAAGTGAACATCCAAAATGGCCGAGCTTGTCGGCATAAGTGACAGACATGAGTACTAACATAACGCCAAAAAAAATCGAAATCCGATTATACGTAACCCGCGAAAACTCAAAATTCGCGATACTTTTTGAACACATCTCGTATAGATTGCAAATTATTATTTAATAAATTGTTTATTAAATATTTTTTACACCTTAATTGTGAAGAAGGTTTGTCATAAAGTTTCCAAGGCTCTCAAGAAATTTTATCAGTTAATAGTAATTGGTAATTGGCACATTTAGGGTATTCATATAGAGTTGCCATTTACCGAAATTATAAATTTTATTTGTAAAAACAAGCTCAAAGATATTGATTATGATTGAGATCATCATTTCATGTCACATTTCATGAAAATAGTCACTTTTTGGTTATTTATAATTTAAACAACAAAAATAAAATAATAAAATATAAAAATTCTTCAAAAATTTAAAAATGATTCAAAATAAAGCAAAAAATTGGTAGCACTGCTGGTATATTTTTTAAACAAAAAAAAAATTAAATTAAATTAAATTAACACTTTTTTTCCTCACGCTGACTCTAACTCTATCCCGCGCATTTGCATATTTAAATTTTATTTTATTTTTTTATGTTACAAAACCCTAATTTGCATATCAACTTCAACTAAAAACAAATTCTTCTACATTATATACATATTTACATACATATATCCAACATTCCTCTGTTTACACGTGACATACCCTTACCTCCTGCTCTATGAATATTCATTTAGTTGACATTTCCACTTGTCAGTTGTCATTCGAATTGCATGGCGAAATGCAAATTTGTCAGGAATTGCAATCAAAATTGCCGGAATGCCAATGGCTAACTACGCCACACATTCTCAGCAACTCGCTTCACTGAGTGGCAGCGCAATATGTCACCTTCCTGTTATGTACAGCTGTTGTTGTTGTTGTTGATTGCAGTTGCGCGAATTGCTTTAGAGCCTTTCAAATTGATTGATGTACAGCAATACTGCTGCTGGTATTCACTACATTTTATGTATGCCTGAGTATGTGTGTGGAAGCACAGCCCAAAGCAGCAACTGACATGCGACACCTCTTCACTGTTCATTCACTAAAGTGCCTGCCACCTTTCGCATATTCAACTAATCAATGACTATCAACCGATGGAGTTGAAAAAAAAATTATATTGAAAAAGAATTGAGAAACGAGTACAGGTGTAGGTTGCGACTTTTTATCTTTCAATATGAGAAAATATTACGACATAAATCTCCGGTGTTGTAGCTGTGCGGGGAAAGACAGTGTGTTTCACAAAAAAGACGCGTCTCTAATATTTACTTAAAAATGCTTTAATTGATCCATATCTGCTCATAACTTTTGTTTAAATATCCTTCCTTTACTGATGTCTATTATTTGAACTTTTTAAGCGTCGAGGCGAATTTCAGTCGAACTTCTGCTCAAGTTGGTGGTGTGTCTCTTAACAAATGGCCAACACCCGGGCTCATTACCCTACGCATGACAGCAGGTACTGCTTCCCACTTGGCTAATGCGATAATTTATTAGTTTGTGGTTGACTTCATGTTGATTATAAATCTTGTAAAGACGGATAAATCCGCTTGGTGGTATTCTAAAAAAGATTCATGAACACTAGAATCCTTCCTAATCGATAGTACCCTGAAACCATTCTAGATTACAAGTCTGCCAATATTAATGCTCATTAAATCTGCAGTGTCAATGGGAGTTTGTTATTGAAACACTTTAACCCTCAGTTTCGCAAATGTGGAACAACTTAAGCACTTGGTGTAGTATAAGATCTCAAGCCTCACAGCAGGAATTTCAAAAACTCCCATTCATCATGACAACTACTTGTGAAATGCATTCTAGGTCAACTGGATCACACATATCGCACTTCTTTCCCCCCATCCCCGCACTCGTCCAATATGCAGTAGTTTCTTATTCAGAATTTATAGAATGATCGTGGCTTTCCATCTTAGCTTAATCGCTTTGCTGCACGCGATTCTGCCATGATCTGTCATTTATAAAAGTTAAGTAGCACTGAAGATCTTCTTGGGTTCTTGGTTATTTAAGTATGTGTCCAACACTGTACTTTTGCTTGACCTATGTTGCTTGCAGTCGACAGTCGATAAACCCACCATGAACTTTTAAATCAAAGTTTATTATAACTGTTAAGCAACATACACAGTAGTTTTGTCTCTTAATACAAGCGCTATGTCGGGTCTGTTAAAAAATCCTCGCCATTCTGGTCGCTTAATTCATTTATATATGCATATGTATATCTAACTTGCGCTTTGTAACCGATTTTCGGCCAAATCCTTTCTCTAAGTTGTACTGTACGTCTCTGTCCTTTTGCCGCAAATTAAGAGACCCACTTTCCCTCGAAGGATTTTTATGAGGAGCTTTTATGTCACCTCAGAAACACACTCGGAGGGTCCCTGTAGAGAGGCGACTGTATTTAGATAAACAAATTTTCTATTTCTTTGTCAGACGAGAACTCAAACCCTGCAGTTGCGGCTCAATTCAGTTAAAGTATTTTACATAAATTATTTTTACATTAACGATGACGAGCTTCATTGGGTTGTAGGCAAGGGCGAAGGTAGTGCTGCATCGTTTCCTTTTCATTTATGTCCCTGTAGTAATGACAACATCCGTTCATGAAGTAGATTAACTTCTTACCATCAAGCCACATTAGAATACGCAAGGTTATGCCATCGGTTTTGAAAGTAATAGAGTTTTGTCTAGTTTTCTTTACTTCAATCAATTTCCGGATCAGTCTGGTCGTATTTCATGTGGCCTCCCACCAACGCTTGCGATTGGGACTACTAGAAAAAGCCGATATTAGACTATATTTTGCTGAGAAAACCCGTATGCCTACGTCGAGTATAGTATTACCCATTAAAGGACTGTTCTCCTTCTAGTGAACCCCTTTACCTGTCGTACAGTCATTTGTCATTTAACTCGAGCCAGGAACGTTTCGCACCATCTCATTAGCACTTTTGAACCTTGAGTAATTACATTGAAGAGCCCAAAAGCAGCTTTACTGTAAAAATATATTGCGAACAACCATGAAAAAAATCGAGGTGGCTTCTTTGAGTGGAGTAATTTCAGCTTGACAGACGCTGCAATGGTTTCACATATGAATTGAGCGTGAGCCTGAGTAGACTCCACTTCAACCCTGTCAGAGTTTTGTGTCACCGATAAAATGGTTCTTTGATTAAAAATATTGCGTTCATTTCTCTTTATAATTTTTGTTGGGAATTTAATATCGACATTGTAAGCTAAGCCGGTGTAGTCCACCTCTTCCCAGAATGATGTGGAATTCAGTATGGGCATCAGGCATTTTCTTTACTACTCTTTCTCTAGAACTCAGTTCTGTTAGTCTTAGCACGTTGCAGTAGCTTAGAAGATATGGAAGTGTAGCAAGAGGTCTTCTGTTAATCATTACTACTAAAAACTAAATGAATGCAATTTCCGGTCTCAGATAACTCAAAGCGACAGATTTATCGACTATAATAAATCGAAATCTGTATTACTTGTGATATCCTATCATGCTGCTGAAGAAGGTTGTTAAGGGCGTTCTCTCAACTTTGCTGATCTCATATTTTAAAGAAGCATATAAGAAGACAGCTTAACTTCACAAAGCTTCCTTAACTAACAGATTGCATATCTTAAAGTCCTAGATATGCTTTCGTAGAAAGGACTTGTTGCTCCCACTTCAGGCTCCGGAAGGGCTTGCTTAGAGGACGGAGTGACAACGGAAAATTTCTATTGAGCAATATTGTACCCCACACGGACTGCTTCCACTTTGTACTGCTAAGAACGCTCATAATTGAGAGATGCAAAGGGAAACTTTCCACTGTACAGCGTGATTGGCATTTTATTTAATTTTTTTTTGGACCTCTGAGTGTGAAACACTCTGTACGGTATGCACATATTTTTCTCCGATTTGCTATAAATTTTAGTATCTGCTGTGAATGCTATGCTGGTAGTGTTGGCCTTTCCATTCCACTGCTTTCATAGCCAACCAGCGCAGTACAAATTATATGTATTTGCTTCATGCTCGGCTCGAGCACGTCAACCCATTTCCCACGGCACTCATCCTCAGAAAAAGAGAAGAAGAAGAATTTAAAATAAAAACAACAATCCATTATTTTTCAATATTTTTCCATCACGTTCATTTCTTTCTTTCCCTCATATTTTCCATACACATTCATTACTCATTTTTCTCCCCTTCTGTTACTCTATATCCGCACAGGTTTCGCCCGGTCACATGACACCTTGGCTTACCATCAATATGTTTGCACTGAGCTTCGAGCTGATACTTTGGCTGGTCGAGGTATTGGTCGGCGCCACCAAATTAGATCTGCACACCCTATTCACCTTCAGTCTGCCCTTGGCGAATTATTTGTTTGTACGTTGTGTGCATAATGTTTTCCAAAATGCCATCGAAACGAATGATGTCGACGATTTGCGGCTTTGGAAGCGCGGCTTCAAGTGAGTCCGTCGTGCACGTGGTATGTACGAGTATAATGCAAATGCAGCGCTAGGGTTTAGACAACTGTAAGTCACACCTTGTTGCTGTCTGTCATGTATTTGTCTATATTTTTGTATATTTTGTATTTTGGATAATGTGTCCGTGTGTGTGTGTGTGTGTGTAATGATTAAGGGATATGAAAATATATATAATTTGAACGAAAGTTTGTTTGGTGGACTCTAAAGTGCTTGTGTGCTAAGTTTTTTTTTAAGTAATAAATTTAAAATATTAATGAAATAAGTGAAGTGTCGGAAGTGTTGGACAAGCAGCTCGCTCCAATGTGTGAGGAGAATCAATCAGTTTGACATTTCTAAATGAAAAATTAAGATACTTTAAATAATTTTTTTTAATGCATATGATTATGGGGAAATTTGGGGACCGAGGTGACGGCTTTTTAATCTATTATCTCAGCAATTTTTTATTCGTCCTTCCGTCCAGGCGACCGAGCGGCGCTTCTGATCAACAAGTTAAGGTCAGATCCGTGATCAGCTACAGTTCAAACAGTTTTTAGTTTAACGAAATCGTTATAAAGAGGAAAACTCGTTTCTGAAACAATAAAGGGCCCAAGGTTTGCTCACTAAAAAATTATTTATTGCCAGCAATTAGAGAGTCAATGGGGTTTGTTCGATAACTTGTTACCAGTTTTAAGCTAATTTCATTATGCCTCTCATAGAAGCCCTCATTCCTATTGGCAAAAAATAGAGACAGTTGACTTGCAGAAGGCTCTCTTGAAGCGAATTTTTCACCAGCGAAATTGTTCGCCATGGATAGGAGCAGATGACAATCACTTTGGGCCAAGTCCGGCCTATACGGAAGCCCATCAGACTTATACAACGCGAGTTACAGATATATAACGCCATCTCTTGGAAAAATTATGGATTTTTTTTACTACACCTGACATAAAGTGACCGAGAACAACAAGCATTGAGGATAAGTAAGTACTCTGCATAGCATAGGCAAAGAAGATAGACATAAAAGTTAGAGAAGTCAGCCTCCATTACGAATCATCCCAATTGGACTGAGGATCTCTTACCGGATTTGAATATAAAAAATCCATTATGCCACTTGTAGATGGTCACTTGGCCGTTAAGGTACTGAAAGATACGAATTTGAACCGATCATGTTGTGCTAGACGGAATACGAGTCTTCCATGTTTTAGACGACTGCACTGTTCGTGTTCTACATAACTCACACTCGCATGCTGTGTAGCGATGTACGTTCGTTAGCAAAAATAAAAAATTTTTCGACCGCCAAGCAGTTTTTGTCCTACCTCTCACTTCCGCTCTCTGAAAGAACTTTCTTACCGTAATATGAGTTTCTTACGCAGTTCCGCCGCAAAAGAAAATATTGGGATTCGACAATAGCGAGTAAAGAGAAGAATAGAGGAATACAGCGTTTTGATGAGAAGAATTTATGAAGGATATGAAGAATTTAAGAAGGAAGCGAGAGCATTTACACGAAGGAAGACTGAGAGAAAGGTGGAAGTACGTGAATACTGAATGTTACGGAACGAACAATATTTCAGCATTCTTACTGAAGATGAGAATGCGATGCCCGTATTGAGCATTTTATTATAGGCATATAATCACTCGACTTTTATAACTCTTTTTTTCCAGAACGAAATATTTATTTACTATACGCCAAATCTTGGAAAACACCTTCAAGAAAACGTAAAGTTTTAGATAATTTCGTCTCTCAGGTTGCTGTTTTAATGGAAAAATTATTCCACAAAGCTTTTTTTTTTTTTTTTTAATGTGACTGTCCTTGGACGAATGAATCCATGTCTTCCCGGTATTGTTGGATTGGTTGCGGAAACTATTGGATTTTAATCGCCTGCTACGACAGGCATGCCTTTATTCAGGCAAATTAGTAAATTTTTCAAACTCTACAAGGGTGATAATTTCGTCCGCATACCGACAGCTTCGAAATCCAATACAAATAACACCTGTATTTTGAATAAAGACTTGGGTCTTAGAGCTTATAAAGTTCAGCAAACACGTGAACTCAAGCTAGCCAATTACGCCATGCTGATTGGATTCTTGAAATGTTTGGAAATTATACGGAATTTCATTGAAAAATCATCTTGACTGATGAGTCTCATTTTCGTCGCAATGGCTGCGTCAATAAGCAAAACTGTCGCATCTGGGGCGCGGAAAACCATAGATTTGTTTAGGAAAAGCCTGCCCATTCCCAACGTGTAACTGTTTGGTGCGGTTTATGGTTCGGTCGGGGTCTCTGAATCTTACTTTCCGCAGATGAGGCTGGCACAACAGCTAAGGTGAACGGCTTGCCCTATCGTGAAATGAATATAGATTTTTTATAACCCGAATGGGAGAGTAATGATCAAGAGAACGTTTAAATTAACGAAACGGCGCTACGAGCTACACAAACAACGAAATCAACGATCTTTAAAGCGAAAAGTTTCCGAGGAGGAGTGCTCGCAATCAGCCACCTAGATCATGTGATTTAACACCTTGCGATTTCTTCCTTTGGGGCCACGTGAAAGATTATTTCTATGCCAACAGCACAATGTCGGTTCAGGTCCTCAAAAATGGAATTCGTGGAGCAATTCGGTGAATATAGAAGCTACTTTGCGTTTTGGTATTGGGAAAATTCATAAAAAAGATATGGTGCTGTAAGTGAAGCTGTGGTGGCCATTTAATTGATATTGGTTTCCATTATTAATGGTATTTTCTTTTCCTTACATTGAAATAAAGATCCGAATATTTATGTCAAAAATTATATTTTTCTTTGAATATCAAAATAAGTCCTTTTATTGGCAAACCCTTTGCAAACATGCCATACTATATCAAGTAATTTAATTATTAACAACTAATAAACACACATTTACTCCTTTAACCTCCAGCAAAACTTGGAATAGTTTAAACTCACGCTCAAAACCAAAAGCAAAAAATGTTTTGAAAAATTCGAAACTCTTGATAAGCTATAAAACTACTTAAATTTGTTACTTGATCTATTGGGTTTTGCTATTTAAAGGATAAAGAGAGATTAAATAATAACAATTAAAACAATTTCAAACAACAAATTTAAAATACGAAACAACAACTAAAAGAAAAAAACATTTGAAAATTAAAATTGAAATAAAAAATCTCAATCTGCTGGAACAGTTGAGAAGCTTTAAAAATGTAAAGTTTTACCTCACACACAGCAATAAAAACACTCATGCACTTACACATACACATACATACCTACGAGTATACTAGTATGGGTACATAGCAATGCACAACGGATGGCAACTCACACTCAACCTCGCATGGCTTGCCGTGTTCGTTCAACTCAGTTTAGTTAGTTTGCTGCTGCACTTGTAACAAATAAAGAGTCACAACTGAGCTTTCTCGTACATTTGCAGCTCCATTCTGCACACACACACACACACACATACATACACACCTACAAAATACCCACTAATGCTGTACAAAGAGTTGAACTTTATTGTGGAGCAAAATGATAATGAAAACAACTCTTGGTGGGCATGAGAAACCACAAGCCATTGTAATGGTGAGTGCAGGAAACGTTACATGAAACTGTGTTTAAAAGGATTTAAAAATAGAAACCAAGTGTTCCAGCTTTGCTTTTGTTTTCTCACTTTGCCATATTAATATTATTACAATTACATTTGTTGTAGAATTTTATTTCAACTTTTGGTCGTAAATGTTATTCGCTTAATGCGCCATGGACTGGAAAAGAGAAAAAGTAAGTGCGCTCTTATACATATATATAAATTTATATACATATATATATACTTCCATATACTCGTATATTTGCACTCTGTTAATGGTGACCGGAAATAGCGAAAACTCATCAAGTCAATCATGACTAAAGTAACATAAAATAAATGTAAAGGGCCCAAGGTTTGCTCACTAAAAAATTATTTATTGCCAGCAATTAGAGAGTCAATGGGGTTTGTTCGATAACTTGTTACCAGTTTTAAGCTAATNATATATATACTTCCATATACTCGTATATTTGCACTCTGTTAATGGTGACCGGAAATAGCGAAAACTCATCAAGTCAATCATGACTAAAGTAACATAAAATAAATGTAAAATATTGCAGTGAAAATTAAAAATAATTCAAATACTGGAAATTGCCTGCCTACACTTCCGTTCAGCAAAAAAAGAGGATAAAAAAGCAATTAGTGTAATAAATATAAGGAAGAAATTCAGATAATAACAGTGTTTATCTCCGCGAGGCTTACATAAAAAAATTGTGACTTTGCCTGCCTTTGATTATTCATTGAAAAATTCTCAAAACTTTAAAAAACAAAAAAAAATTTAAAAAAGACCTGATGAAGCACAATTTTCCTTCAGTTGGTCCAGGCAGGGCGCTTCCTTCCTTCAGTAGGTGCAATTGCTGACAGTTTAGGTCCAAATTAATAGTTTTATTTGATGGAAGATTCCTTGCCAATTCCATCAAACACTTAACGAAACCTCCCTAATAGTCATTCCTTGGCTTGAATACCGTTTGTGCCGGTTCACTGTACTTTCACTCTGACCGTTTCCATTTAACGTTGCTAAAGGTGAACCAATTTTTATCACCAGTCATCATCCGTTTCGTCGAGCTTGTTTGTGTATCCAGCCTTTTTAAGGGGTTCCAAATAGCTTTTTAAGCAATGTTTAGCTCTTGGGCAATCAAAGTTATGTTGGAATGGTGATGAGACTTGACGATTTACACTATTTTATCGACAATTTTGACAAAGGGCTTTCCACATCTTAAATGAAATATACCGGAGCGAAATCGACGAAACAAATATTGTGTAAGGCAGACTATTGCAGTAAGAGGACCATTAAAATTATTCTCATTTTTAGCTGCCTAACTGGCTTTTTCGACTTTTTGAAATCCCTTACAATGGAAATACGAAGAAAATTAAAAAAAGATTTCTTATTCATAAATCTGCATAATTTTTTTCTTTGGAGTCGTCAGGGATGATTCTTTCTGTCTTTGCTAAACTCTCCAAAGCCCTAACATCTACTCAGACTGCCATTAAGAGCGCTTAACATACAGCTGCAGTTACTGTAGATAATCAGAAGGTCTTCTTCTTGAGTTCCGCGGCTGCTCTCTGAGAGTAGTCGTCAACAATACAACACAAACCATATGGGATAGCTGTTGAGTGTTTACGAGAAAAGTGGTATGTATTTAAAGGAAGAAAGAGAGAGATATCGATATACCGGCTGATTGCTATGAGTAAGGCAGTAAAATGCTATGAAAATATGTGGGAATTTACAGAAGATTTTAAGAACGTTCCATATATATATATGTGAAAACCAAAGAGGTAACTAATGGCTAGAGCAACCACAATCTGTGCAGATAGATATAAGAGCCTCAGCAAGAGTGTTACCATATCTGTCGCTATAAAAGACAGCACCGAGAATATCAGAGCTAGATTTCTTAGATTACAACTCTAGAATGTCATCGGGTTACCTTTGATATTGACTTCACATTTATTAGTATATTTTTTGCACAAAATTTTATCGAGACCATTAAACTTCATTATAATTTGTACTGAGAAAAAATTTTCATAATTTCTAAAAATTTATAAAAACTTTGATTTCAAAGTCTTGAGATGCCTCAACACTTTCGTATATTATGGTACCTTACTATATAAGCCCGCCTAGGAAAGGTGGGAATAAGACGGACACACAAATCATGAGTAAGCATTTTGAAAACATTACGATGTCTTTTATGTCTTAACTCATATTATTTTTCTGTATTGAAATATCTGAGAGTAAATAACAAATATCACCATACTCACATTAATGACTGCACGAGCAATGAAAAAGGCCACTTCCGCTTTGCATAAAGCATCGAATTGCTGAAAAGAAAAGGAAGAAAAGAAGAAAGAATGAAAAGCATAATCACTCTTAAGAAACATACAAAAGTTACAAAGTCAAGGTTAACGTAGATGAAGGTTGTGGAAACTGTTGCGGCGTCATTAAATCAGCATCACAACGTCACATTTTGAGTGCATGAAATTCGATATGAGTGTGTGCCTTACTTTAAATCCGAAAAAATATTTATTAATAAAATTCACCACTTGACTTGGTGTTATAATTTTGGCATCAAATTTTGGCACCGACAGAGTCAGGACCTGTGAAAAGCTTTTCACACCCTCAACCATTCAGTGCTACTAACGGACATTGAGGAATCCTTTTTACCGCCGGGGTTACAGAGGTGGGTCACTGGCTACCTGAGTGGTCGGCAATCATCGGTAATATTCCGAGGTGAAACATCGAAACCAGGGTTTAATATCTACATATCGAAACTTCCTCCTCCACCAGAAGGAATACAGGCTTGAATTAGATGCGAAGATCGATGATGTCAAAGTTCCGACTATTAGCAACCCAAAGAGATTGGGAGTAACACTGGAAAGTCTGCACTTTAGTGATCTGTATCTCGTGTTTTATGTTTTTCCTATAATTTTATGCAATGAAGGCGTAAGGTGTAAGTCCGGCTGCTGAAATATTTGACTAGTCTTTATGGTCTTGCAACGGTAACAGTCAATCATGCACAATTTTGGTTTGGTCGATTTCGTGCACCTAATTCTGATGTATAAGATGCTTCTGGTTCTAAAAGACCAATTGTCGAAAATTACGGTGAAATAATGAAAATCGTCGAGTCTGACTGTTATTCGAGCTTTATTTCGATTGTCCAGGAGCTAAGCTTTGCACTCGAAAGAATTAGAAATCACTTGAAACAGGCTGGAACACAAAGAAGCTCGCTCGATTTGCGAGTGTCACTTGAGTTAACGAGAAAAAAGCTAATTGAACAAATTTAATTCTGTGAAATGATGCTAAATTGTGATAAAAACAACCATTTTCTGACTGAAGACTGAAGAGTGGTTCACTTACAGCAACGTCAAATGAAATCGATCCTTGGTGAAGGGCTATGAGCTTGGCTTAAACGATATTTAAGACAGCATCGACGGTCAGGAAGGTGCGTTTTTTTTTAATAACAAGAAATCTTTCACTAAGAGCTGCATGCATACTTTTAATGCGGACCTGTACTGTCAGCAATTACATCATCTGAAGAAAATTAAGGCCCAGAGACGCCATGTTTTCGCCAACAGCGGGGAATTGTGTTTCATCAGGACCACGCCAGACCACATACATCGTTGGTGACCCACGCGAAGCTTCGTGAGCTTGGTTAGAATGCATCCACTGTATAGTTCGGACTACGCTACAAATAATTACCTTCTAGCAACGACTATGGTGAATGATCTGCCTGGTTAATAATCGGCTCAAAGAGAAGCTTGGAAGTATCAAGCATTTCAATGAGAGAGACATAATGACACAACTTTAAAAATAACAAAAAGTTATCGAACCAGGCGGTGCATACTTGACATAAGTCGGATAATTCAAACTATGGTGTAAATAGAGCAAAATTAATGGTTTACTTTTTATCAGGTCAAATTTAATTCCTCAAAGCACTTTTCTCCATGGAAGCTATTTTAAGGGGGTAGATCCGAAGCTCAGCGTTCAGATCATTAGAGCCCATCTAAAGACTTGCTGGCAAAGCTCTGGGAAAAGGCGCTGCAAATTGGACTTCAGTGAAATAATAATCGAATTTGTCAGTGTGGCCCCACCGAAGCTTTCCTACGACTAAATACTAGTTAACAGTTCTCTTCTAAAAGCTTGCGCACAAAGAGCAGTGAGCTTTAGCGGGAGTAGTGAAATGAATTTGCGAAGAAACTTTCACTTTTACTTTCCCATTTAAAACTCAAATAATGGAATTTTAAAGCATAACATTCACTCAATTTTCGAATTGCTCCCCTTTTTAACTCTTTAATCTCTACAATTAGCTTATATAAAGCACTTAGCAGAGCTTCCGCTTTCACCTGCTCGAATTTGCATACAAAATTTGTAACTTTGTAAAATACCGTATGTAAATTCAACTTCAACTTTCACACTTTCATTGCAAACCAATTGTGAATGCAACTGCATTGACACTAAAAATAACTACGTGGAGAGTGGAGAATAGAACAAAAGCAGCAGTTGAAAAATAATACCAAAAAAGAGAAAAAAAAAATTGAAATCTCATAAAAAAATATGTGAAAAATCTGAGTTATGCAAAATGTTCGAAAGCTACAACAACAACAACAACAACAACAACAATAGTAGCAGCAGCAATCGAAGCTACAGCAAAAGCACTCGTCAGTTAACAGTTAATGTCGTCATGCACTTACAATGCAAATTGTTGCAATGCCAGAGAAATGCCGTTACTCAGCAGTTGTACGAGTGCCGGCGGAAAGGAAAATAAACTTTTCCCAAAGCTTTTTGGTTTCTGCATTTTAAAATGCTTAAAATTTACAGGTGACCGAGTGGGTGGAAGGTAAAGTGGAATTCGAAAAAGTTAAAGTATCACCAACAACAACAACAACAACAACAACAGCAGCAGCAACAACAGCAGTAGCAACAACAACAACAACAGCAGCAGCAGCAGCAACAGCAGTAACAACAACAACAACAACAAAAACAAAAACAAAAACAACAACAACAACAACAACAACAACTACAACAGCAGCAGTAGCAACAACAACAACAACGCTTGACTCACTGTGTGCGGTGAGTAGAAGTCGTAAATTGGCACAAGAAGCAGCAGTCGGTGCAGTGTGCGTGAGACAGGTGGCAGCGGAGAGCCAATAGAGTTCTATTTTGCCATTGCCACACACACACACAAAGGCAACCGCAAAGGTAATGCATCACATTGTATGTAGATAAAGAGCAAAGTTGGCATACATCAACTGTGTGTTACAAAAACACAAAAACCAACAAAAACAATGTCAACTGTCTGTTATACCCAGCGATAGAGGAAAAGCGCAAAATAAGAAAAAAAATTAAAAAAAATAACAAAAACTAAATGTAAAAACTTCACCAAAATGCATTTGAATTTCGCGCGCAAAACACGTTAGAAACGTAAAACGTAAACTGCAAACAGATACCGCAAAGCACACGCACACATAATTTATGTATGTGACATAACTGGCGGGCAATGTCAAAGAAGAAAGAAAACAACGAAATGTGAAGTGAGTGAAAAATGTGCAAAAACTGGATGAAATATGTGTGAGATGTATTTTGGTTTGCCTGCAAGAGATTTGTTATGGCAATGCCAAAATAGTGTTGATAAAATTACAATAGAAAGCACTACTTTTGCGTGGAGTTTTGTAGTTGAATGCGTGGGTGTGTGTGTGTATGTTTGTGTTTGAAATACGTCAACAAAATTTTAGGACGCCCTTCCGTGCTTTATAATGCAGCAAAGTTGGTGTTTTCGCACACCGTCAATCAAATTCACCAACAGACAGTTAGTCCTTTCCGTGTGATTGCAAAAAATAGGAACAAAACAAGATAAAAGAGCAGTCCAGTTGGCCAAGCCGAAATCTCTATACCTTTCGTGATAATGGAATTTCATTTGAGGATTAAATATTAAGTCTTATAACTGCAAAAAATCATTTGAAAGGGATATATATGATACAGATTTCTGATTCCGAGGATTATCGGCGTGTAGAGGGCGCCGAATTTGTGACTTGCAGTTGCATTTTTGTTAGATTTTCAACACAAAACCCCACAAATGCGTTCTGTGGGGGCTACAAGATACCGTGCTCTAGTTTTGCAAATTTTAATCATCAATGCGTAAATCATCATAAGTGTACTTTTTTGACGGATTTCTTGCCCAATTCTAAAAGAATCTGTAAAATCAGTGGTCTACCAGCATTGGTTAGAATATCTCTCAAACCGGGGGACTAGTTCTCGTACAAAAACACGATAGCTGAATTAACTCAACTTGTCATTCTGATCATGTCTATATATCGCATTAGACCCATAATTCCGCTTGCTTCTGGTATTTACTTACTTCCGATGGACTACCGGCCGAGCTATTTAAACAAGGCGGTGAAGAGCTGACAAAGTGCATGCTTCTTTGCAAAATATGATTGGACAAAAGCATGCTACTATTGGAACCTAAGTCTGGTCTGTGGTCTAAATTTGGCGGAAATGAGATGCCAGAAGATAGAGGCTTATATTCCCAGAAAATGGTAGTCATTGCAAAGGTAATTGGGATCATGACGCGACCTTGCCTTAGAGGACGGCAAGCCGAAAAGCTAGGGGCCTCTTTTAGAATATATTATAGGAACTGCAAGAAAGGCGAGAAGAAAGAGAGTATTTTATACCCTGCCTTTAGCAGAAATATTAGAAATTCAAAGAGAAGACTTATTATAATTTTGGCCAAAAAAATGTAATTTTTCCGAAAATTTAAAAAGTTTCGGCTCCAGATATTTTTCCAAAGATTTTCCAATGTGATATGAGACAAACTCTTTAGTGAATATTAAGGAGAAAAAATACATTTACGTGAGCAAAATGAACTTAAAATTTTTGAAATTTAGGACTAGCGATGTCGCACGGGACTAGGTTCATCTGGATGATAATTTTTAAATTTATTTCTCGGCAAATTATACTATAAAAATTTAAAATCAGATTTTCACGCTTGAAATTGTATTTCAATGTCGAACGGGACATTGAGAAAACAGTTAGAAAACTATTTAAATCTACTACATCTGGTTATAGAGGATTTTTGAGTAAAAGGAATTATTCTGATATTCAAAAACAAATAATATTTATTGAGATAAATGATCAGATGTTTAGCTCAACGTAAAGAGCGAAAAATGTCTTTAATAGTGGAAAGCAAGATCAGTGAAATGGATCGCCTTAATGAAGTTTTCCAACAACAAATCGCAGAGTGACTGGTCTCAAATGAAGAAGACGCTAGATGTTAAATTTTAGGATCCCTGTAGCCAATTGCGACCACCTCCACAAGCGATAACACGGTCCATGGCACATAGCGCTGTCTTGTTGAAAGTGAACTATATACAGATCAATATGATCCAATGCCGGCCGTAAAAACAATACTAATCTTCTTTCGACAGTGCAATCTATTCACCGTAACTGTTGATGTAGCTTCATTTTGGAAAAAGGTAAGGTGCAATGACCCCACCGGTGCATAAACCATACCAAACAGTTAAGCGTTGAAGATGGAGAGGAGAGACTTTTCAACAAATAAATCTTGGGTACTCCAAACCCCATATGCAATATATTTACCATTACTTAGCCATTCAGGTGGAAATGGATATCATCAGTCAAGTTGATTTTTCGATGAAACCGTTGCTGACAGGATTTCAACATTTTCATAATGAATTTTAATAATTCCAATGCGTTGTTGATTACAGGCGTTATTTTTACTTGCCAAATATTAAAATATTTTAGCTTCAAAAATTATAGGCTGTTCACAATAATACCTCTTATTGGGAGCCCCTTTATCTGCGAATTTTCAGTATATTTTTTTTGACTTTGGCTGCCATTTAATTGAAATTTATCATTTCCTTGAAATTAAATGAACTTTTTTCACTCGCTTTGGAATCTCCGAATTAACTTTTATTTTATGCGAATTCAAGATCTAAAGCATGTTTGAGAAAGTGTTTATTTTTTCACTTTCACTATGCCATGGGTGAAAATTAAAAACATTTGAAATTCTTTGTGAATAATATTACTGTAAGTATTTCAAAAAATGTAATCTAAACATTTTGTTGTTATTTTTTTACATTTTCTCTGCGTGCATAATTTTTGATTGACTTTGACTTTCGCTTTTTAACAAAATCATTTCCCACGCGCTTTCAATTTTCCGTGATTTTTGTTAAATATTTCTTTTTCCCACGCTTTTCAAAGTTCGTTTGGAATTCGTAAGTCGCTAAATTAAAAATCAGAATATGAAAGTGAAACAAAGAAATAAAAGAAAAAACTAAAATATGCAAATGAAATGAAGAATAACAAGAAGAGACAAGAGAACGTTTGGAAAAAAATATGCAAAACAAATATGTACCAAGTAAATTCAAATAAAAAGTGCGATAATCAGCAAAACAAAGTGCAAGCAGCTATTCAATACTTGCTGCTGCTTCCTCGTGACGCGCGCCTCTCTCGCGCGAGAGTAGCAAAATGAAATTCATGCATTTGCCTTCGTTGGCCAAATAAAAATTGTGGCCTCTGGTAAGCTGGGGAGCCACTCGTACTCGTACGCCAGCATTCCCACTTCTATTATTATGTAAATTTTTATTTTACATTTCTTACTGCTTGTTAGCATTAAATTGTTGTATGAATTTATTGCAGTTCGTTTGCATTAATGTTTGTTCTATAGTCTTTCGGGTTTTTTTTTATTATTTCGTTTTCTTCTTTCGTCCTCGTCCATAGTTGGTCAATGAGAAGCGAATGAATGAGTTATAGTGAATTTTGTTGCATATTTTTTGGGGAGATAGCAAGTTATGCTGTACCAGCGACTTACTGACCTTGTTCACGTGATCTCGTAACACATTGGAGTAGACCATGGCCACCGCTTCCAGCGCCATAAATGTGATATAGCCAATTATCCATGGTACTATCAGGCCAGGATTTTCCTGAAAATTAAAGAAAAATTTTAAAAATTATTAGCAGAAAATCGAGCGAATTGAGTATAATGATAAAAAATATATTTTATTTTATTTCTTTAAAAAAAAATGTCCCTTATTAATATTAATATGAATTTAAATTTGAACATTGGAAATATTTTTAATGAATTCTGAAGATTATATATATTCGACGATTTTTAAGACTCCAACAAACAAACAAATATGACTCAGCTTTCAGTGGCAACGGACTCGGAAAGTAGTACTCCTGACAGCTTCTGGTTAATAAGATGAAAAAATTAAGAGAATCTACCGGCTATTTTGGCTAACCAAAGAGCTAAAGTCCTCCCAAGTCATCCTTTCTTTAGAATGTCTCGTTTCTATTTGCAACAAAAACTTCTACTATCTTTCCGTCCCAGATATTGTTGCTGTTTTATGGCAACTTAAGTGGCTCGAATAGGGTCACACTTCAAAACAAAACCCGATCTTTTTACATTCTTCAATGGCATATACCTCGGTGCAATGACCCCACCAACAATCCTCAATATTGTCTTCCAGAGAAGAGTGGGATGGTGTTATGGTGAATAAAGACATACAGTTACATACCTATTATATTATATATAGACGAATACAAACTAGTTAATCGAGCGTGAGGTGACTTCTTTTCAGCAAAATTAGATACCACAATTGCCTGCTGACTGCCCGAACACTTCCGGATCTACAGAAAAGAATTGCTTATAATAAGACATATATTTATATATACGGTTAGCCAAATGGTTTTGAAAACACTAACTTATTTTAGATCTTATCTGTTATCTGTTTAAGCAACACCTAACAAAAAAATTCTGATAAAGAGGAAACAAATGATATATGTCTGTGGATACCTGTAAATCAATAAATACTGTAAGTTTGAATATAACCGTGCTTCGGGGTAAATAACTAACATGGCCAGCATGTAATATGAAACGCCAATGCTGCCTGTTGAAATTTAAAAGGAATGTGAACTTCATCCAAAGTGCTAACAGAGCATTGTCTTATTGACAAACAAGTCAGGAAACTGGACTTACCACACAACGATTATTGTCTAAGCTGTAGCCAGGAAGTGGGGCTGTAGAGGCACAAAATAAATCTTAAATAAATAATTTACATTTTCATCACAACAGGGTGGTTTAGTCTCTATTATCACATCGCAGTACTATTGCGCTAAAAGCGGGTCTTCCTGTTTTAGGGTCTACACTTGGTACATCTATAATATGACTGACAAACTCTAGGTAATAAAAGTATACCAAGATATCAAAATTGGCGGGAAATTGAACTGTAGGGGATACCCCTGATACCCGACATAGAGACACCTCATTTGCATTTAATGCTTGTCAAAGGAATATTGATATAGAATATGCAAACTGGGTTTGTATCGGCGAAATAACTTGCATACGGTGTAGTTGTAGAAGGTGCAGTATTCCATAAGAGTGTACAGCTGCTAGCGCACGCCGATAATACTGACATCATTGGCCTAAACAACCGAGCCGTGAGAGTTCTGCTATCTCCAGACTGTATACCGAAGCGAAGCGAATGGGTCTGATAGCGAACGAAAGCAAGACGAAATATCTCCTGTCATCAAACAAACAGTCATTGCATTCGCGACTCGGCTCCCATATTAATATTGACAGTCATAACTTTGAAGTCGAAGATAATTTCGTCTTTTTAGGAACCAATATTAACACCAATAATAATGTTAGTCTTAAAATCTAGCGCAGAATCACTCTTGCCAGTAGGTGCTTCTGTGAACTGAGTAGGAAACTGAGCAGTAAATATCTTTCTCGACGATCGAAGACCAAACTCTATAAGTCCTTTATCGTTTCCGTTTTGCTATTTGGTGCGGAGGCACGTACGATGACAACATATGATGAGTCGATGTTAGGAGTTTACCAGAAAGAGATTTTGAGTAAGATTTATGGTCATCTTGGAGTTGGGAACATCATATGCCGCAGCCGATGGAATGATGAGCTGCGTGAGATATACAGTGATATTGGCATAGCTTGGCGAATCAAATAACAGCGGCTATGCTGGCTAGACCATGTGGTTCGGATGGATAAGAATACTACAACTTTGAAACTTTTTAATGCAGTAATCGCCGGTGACAACAGAGTAAGGGAAAGTTTTCCACTCCGTTAGAAAGGCTAGGTAGAGAAAGAAATTAGACTTTAACGGCGTAAGCGGTGTCTACGCCAGTAAAGAAAAAGAAGTAGTTGTATTGTAGAAAAGCCACCAATTAAGATTTTAAGATTTTCTTTCATTTGTTGAAGATGAAGTGAAGTTATCGGAGAGTTAAGCTTTTCCACCATGCAGCACAAATCATCGTATTTCAATTCTGGGTCTAGAGTGTACCCACACACACTCATGCCAAATATATTAGGGAAGGTTCACAAAAAATCCACAACCCATAGCCGTTACCCAAGACTTCACACATGCTCACCATCGCAACTCGGGTTAGGGCTGCTCACTATTCAGAGTATGTCGAGAGAACACAAGAGTACGAATTAAGTATAAACCTACTAATGTAACTACAAACTTACTCCGGTTACACCACAACAAACCAACATTTGCCTTATGTTTATGAGTCTAAAATAAAATATGATGCTTGGGTTAAACAGATATTGTTTCAGGTAGCATTAAGTGAAGATCTATTAGGTTAAATTATCGACTCCAAGTAAATGTCAATGATGCTTCTACTCAAGACTCTAGCCAACTAGGCGTGTTCGTAATGCTTAAGAAGATCATTTTCGACATAATTCTTCAAGTTTTATTACTCATACAACAACAAGATTGTATACCACATTTTTTATTTATTTATTTATACATTTATTTATTTAAGATTTATTTGATAATTTTCGGCATATTTTAATTTTTATATTTTCTTTTTTCTTTCCTTTCTCGAGCGATTTGACTGAAATTCCCTCCGCGGATTTTCAGCGCAACCAAGTTAAAGCAGATTTTAAAGTTCTGCTTGGTATTATGAATACCAAGTTGAGGTGGGAGATTTGCGCTGTCTAATTTGTGATTAAATATATACACACATATATATATGTTTGTAAATCTAATATAAATGCGAAGTGAACGCACTCATGCACATAACACTCATGTAGTAAATCAACAAGATGCCACTGTGCACGTCACCACCATTGCTACCACCACGACCACCATTAGGCCAAAACACTCCGCAAAATCTCGCCACTGCTCGCCAAGGCACACACACTAGCACATACTACGAGTCACTCGTTGGAACAATAACATTAGCAATCCACAGGAAACCAAATAGTCGAGCAGTCAACCAGTCAACGAGCCAACGAGCCAACGTGCTAACAAGAATAACTAACAAACGATGAGAAAACAGTAAAGCTGTTAGGAAAATATGCTTATAGAAGTATAATAACCCTGCAGTAAAACGAACCAGTGGACAAACTAGCACGAATAGTCCATCAACTTATTTATGCTCAGACAAGAAAGAGTTAGGGAAGCAACAAAAACTCGATAATAAATTTTTTTCAGAAATATGCTAGCCTCGAGCTAGTTCAAGGTGGACAGATGTGTAACTAAGTTTTGTTTTATTGTTTATCGAAATCACAAGAATTGTTAAAAAATTTTTTGGAAATGAGAATATTATCAAAATAAAGTTTAGTTCTAAGAATTGTTTTAGAAATGTAAAAGTCGCAAACTAGTTCATAGAGCACAAATATGTAACTAGTTTTGTATTATATCGCAATTAAAAAAATTTAAAAATATTAGTTTGAAATTGAGAAAATTATCTATATAACATTTAATTCCAAAAATTGATTCAAAAATAAACTAGACTCCAACCAGTTCAAAGTGGACTAATATGTAACTAGTCTTGTTTTATATTAAAATTACAAGAACTGTTGAAAGTGGGTTTGAAAGTGAGAAAATTTTTTATATAAAACTTCATTCTAAAAAATGTTTCAGAAATATACTAACGTCAAACTAGTTCCAAATGGATAGATATGTAACTAGTTTTCTTTTATTGTTTATCGAAATCACAAGAATTGTTAAAAAATGTGTTGGAAGTGAGAATATTATTTATAAAAAGTTTAGTTCTAAGAATTGCTTCAGAAATAAACTGACCTCAAACTAGTTCAAAGTGCACAAATATGTAACTAGGCTTGTTTTATATTGAAATTCCAAAAATGGTTAAAATTGGGTTTGAAACTGAGAAAAATATCTGTATAAAACTTCATTCCAAAAATAGTTTTAGAAATATACTAACCCCAAACTAATTCAAAGTGGACACATGTGTAACTAGTTTTGTTATATAATATGATAACAAGAATTGTCTAACAATGAGTTTGAAATTGAGAAAATTATCAAAATAAAGCATTTAAATAACCAATTGTTTTCATTGCTTTATTTATTTTTATGAGAACAATATTAATATAAATATTCAAAAAATTGGTAAATAACCTTTTTGGACTAGTATGAATTTGGTCAGAAAATACCAGTTCCAAGCAACTACTTTTTCCAACCAGTACTTTACTTGCCTGCTGAAAATTAAGAATGTCTGGTGCATGTCTTTGGGAACGAATATACTCGTCAGCGACTGTTGAGGATGAGCACACGTTGAGCTTAACGAATGTCTGTTTGCTGATCGTTATTTGGGAATGAGGTAAAGTCCCGTCGTTTTGTTTTGCTATCAACGCGCAGCGGATAGACGATAATACAATTGTATTAACTATACGATATGTATGTGCTATGTATGCTTGATTGTGTGCTTATACAAGTACCCAGTTAAACAAATGGGGAGTACTTCGAAAACTGAGAGGAGAAATACACTCGCTAAGGAGTTACTTTAATCAAAAAAAACCTAATACAAAAAACAAAAACAAGCGCAAGATCTTGTGTTCGAAATAAGAAGAAAATATCGTAATTATTAAGGTTTATGGAAGACATTGGTGCAGATAATAGAATGAAATCCATCAGGGGAGGAAAAGGTGGCTCCT